TGTAATAGAGTACAATTAAAATAACATTAAAATAATTATTTACTCAGTTCATTTGCACAAACTGACTGCTCAAAAATACCTAAAATTAGTTTGCGCAGTTTAACTGAACGTGTAAACCCACCTTAACACGCGTTCAATGCCGCGGCCTATTCGCCGGCCGTGCCGTTACCGCGTCGCCGCAACGAATTTCCGCCAGGTCGACTAATGATAGTATAATAATTAAGTTATTTGTCATATATTTCTGTTACACTCTGTATATCATTTTAAAACCTACGCATATATTTTCTTATACTTCATAACTAATAATATTTACTTTATAATATTATATGATATATTATGTATGTATAATGAATGATTATATATTACGAATATTATATAAATATAAATTATAATTACTTCATTTTGTTGTAAACGGTAAAACTTTACTACGGTTAAACTTTTTTTTTTTAATTTTTAAATAATTTATAAGCAGTTTCCTATATACTGGCTAAAGGTACTGCATGAAAAGTGTTTAAGCTGTAAAGTGAGTTCGTAATAAGTCTATATCAAATTTGACACAATATATTAATATACTTTATATTATAAATATATACTGTGATAATATTATTTTGTAAACAATGCCCAAGCTGTAAATAGTTGCCGGCGTCATTTATAAGAAGTCGGCTATAGTTCAGGTATATAATATACGGTGCACACGAATTGCGTACCAAAGCAGGTAGACGAACCTTTTTGAACGAATTGCGTCCCGGACGCAATTCGTGTCACCTTTTAATTTAACATTTTTTTTTAGCTTTCCAGAGGTTTCCAAATTTATTTTTGATTTTGATATTTTTAAATTAAAAAAAAAATAATAATAATAATTAAATATGTATCATTAACATAATAATGTTAAATGAAAACTTGTTTTTAGTGGTTTGTTCTTTTGGGTCGGAGCTATACATATGGCGTATTTGCCGCGTTTAGTCTAGAAAAACAACGAGTACCTAGAAAAGCAATAAGACAAAGAATACTATTTATAGAAAATAAAATTAAACAATTAAACAATAATGAGATTACAATTAAAGATTATGTTAATACATTAGCCAATAAATATAAATACAGAAAATGATATTATTATATTTTTACAATTCAATTTTAATTTTTTTTTATAAATAAGTATGTTATTATGACTTATAATTTATATTATTATGATATTATTATATTTTTACAATTATTAAATTTAAATTTTTTTTATTTAACTTGACATATCTTTATTATGGCGATATCACTTTAAGAACCCCTTACAATAATTAACGGTAGATGAAAAGGTAACTACACATTAGAGACAATTATCTAGAGTTGGCGGTATGTGAAATTTGCCCACCGGTATTCGGTATGTGATTACATACCGGTTTTAAACGGTATACCGGTATGTCAGTATGTATCGATAAATACCGGTCGTTCGGTATATACCGCTTGAACGGTAAATACCGGTCGCTTAATATATTCAACCTACAATTGAAAGTAATTAAATATGCTAACTAATAAAATATTTATATTATCTTAACAAATATAAAAAAACATTTTGACTTAAGTTTAACTAGTAAGTAGGTAAATCATAATCCTTAGCATGTACCTACTACCTTATTACATAGTTTAAATTTTCTTCTGCCACATCTTGCATTATTGTAATAGAGTACAATTAAAATAACATTAAAATATAAATAACATCAATTAAATGTTATTAAGAGGAAGTCGTTTAATTTAACAAAAAATATTAATTGTTCGGCATGGGTTTCAGACAGCAAGGACCGTTTGTTTGTAATAACATTTCCTCCATAACTAAACAACCTTTCACATGGTACACTAGTACCTTGGACGCATAGATACTTCTTTGCTAACCGAGATATGTTTGGAAACTCTGAATTGAATATTTTCCACCAGTTTAGAGGATCTGTATCCAAATCTACCTTGGGCATTTGGTTGTATTTTTCAATCTCAGTTTCAAAAATATTCTCATCATTTGAAGCAGAATTAGAGGGTAAACTTGTACTCAAAAATGAAGCTATACCTATGAATGATAAAGAAGTAATTATTATTTTTTACTACATAAACAAACTATTAACCTTACCAGAATAACTTTTTTTTTTTGATGGTGGTGATGAACTTGGGTCGACAGCTTTCATACCATTAAGTTCCATTTCTGCGACAAGTTGTTTCTTAACCATATAGAACTCATAACCAATTAAACAAGATTTATAGCGAGGATCCAAAAATGATGTTAGTTGTATTAATTGTTTGGTTCTAATATTATCATTGAAACGTTTAGAAAGTTTTCCAAATATAGCATCAGATACCAATTGTTCAACATGGTCTAATGCTTGAATTAATGTTTGACTTAAAATTTCCTCTTCACAATCTTCTGTAGAATCATCATTTAACTGAGAAAAGAAGTCTGAAGTTTCTTCTACTGTAGGTTGACTATCGAGTATACCTTCTTGCGAGTCAGCAAACAACGGAGCTGAATCATTAATAGATACACTTTGTGAATGACTTTCATTTGTCTGCTTATAAAATTGTAATTTTAACTGCTGATATATGGGCCATAATGAAGATATTGTTACATTTTTTTCTGAAGCCATAGCTTCACCCAGTTGTTTTAATGGATTCAAAATACATAACAAACGTTCAATTAATTGTAAGTGGTTAAAGGTAGGTCAAATCTTTTGATATTTAGGAGTGGTTAGTATTGAACGCAATGCTTCATGCTGTGTTTTTATAAAGTTTAAACATGGAAGTAAAGACCACCAACGAGTGTCAGATGAAGATGGAGCTACTAAAGGGGGAAGATTTAAATTAATCTGGGCATTTAACAAAGAACGTTTCATTTTGCGACTGTAATGAAAAACTGATCGCACTTTTACTGCATTATCTGAGCAAAACTTAACAGGTGGTAAAGCAAATGCATTGGTTACACCCGTATTTAAAACATGCCCAAAACAAGGTATGTGGTTAAACGATAAACTATCCACGGCTTTTAAAATGTTACTTCCACAATCTGTTGTTATCCCAGCAATTTTAGATTCATCAATTTCCCAGTCAATCAAAATTTCTTTTATCTTATTTTTAATGTTAACACTGTTGTGATCAAAATTCAAAGAAGTACACGCCAAACAAAAACTTTCAATTTTCCAATCATTATTAATAGTATGAGCCGTTAATCCTATGAACGGATATCCATTTACTGATGTCCAGCAATCCGTTGTCAGTGAAATGTATGACACTTGTTTTAATTTTTCCTTTATACAGTTTCTTACAATTTCATACATTTGAGGAATCTTATGGTCAGAAAAGTACTTCCTGCTGGGTAATTCAAAGTTTGGACATAAGACTGATAATAAATGTTTGAATCCTTTTTTTTCCACTGAATTATAAGGCTGCATATCAGTGCACATCCAAATACCTATGGCATGTTTATATTTTTCAATTGTTTTCTTGTCTAAAGGAGAAATTATTTTTAATTTGCTTTGTTTCAGAGTTCCAATTTTTCTTTTTAAGTTAGTTTCTGCAAATTTAAAAATTATTGATTAATTACTTATTTATACAGTATAGGCACAACTAGCGGGTAAGTTAGCAAAGTGAAACTTTGGGGCCCCGATTTATCGGGGGCCCCCAGTCCCCACAATAAAAATTTGTTTGTTTGGATTGCGTATATTGTGAGACATGTTGGCTCTTTGCTAATCGCCATTATTCATATTTTCAAAAAGCTTGGATCAATGGTGTAAATGACTGGCCAAATTTAACTAATAAAATAACTACCCATGAAAAGTCATTGCAACATATTGAAGCAAGTAAAACTCGTGCCTTATGGAAACAAAATGAAACAATTGACAAAATATCTGAACGACAATACTCAGAGGAGGCCTTGTTTTGGAGAAATGTATTAGAAAGAATAATTAAAATAATTCTTTTTCTAACTGCTGGTAACACAGCACTAATAGGCCATGAACACAAACAAAAATGTAATTCAGAGCATTTTGATGGCGAAGGTACTAACTAATTTTATATTTTATATTTGACTTTAGGGCCCCCAAGTGTCTAGTTGCGCCACTGTAATAAATTATACTACTTCAAAATATTTAAATATTTAAAGAAATAAAGAATATTATATTGAAAATGAAGAATCATTGATCTTTGATTTTGAATTCTTTAATATAATATAAGAGTATCATTTAAAGGCAACAGTCGGAAATATTATATTTAATTTATTTAATTTCTGATTATACTATAATTTTCAAAATTATGATAAAATGATAGACATTAAATATATTAAAAATTATATTTTTTCTTATACCTAATGCCAAAATAAGTTTTATGATTCCTAGTGATTTTATGATTCATTTTATGTAACATAATATTACCTACCTTCATTATTTGGTGTATCACAATTTATTTTAATCAAAGTTGAAGGATCATCAACACATTCATCCAAAACTGGCAAAACTTCTTCAGTGTCTGCAGTTGATGTTATAGTACTATTTCTTTGAAAACAAAGTACCAATTAATTACTAATTACAAAATTTAAATTTATTTAAAATGTTAAATAAATTTAAATTTTGTAATACATTCATTATCATTTTTTTTTAAAAAATAACACTTACCCATCAATTTTTATGTATTCCAAGTATAAATTTGGATGTTTGTAACGCAAATGAGACTTTAAATTGCTTGTATTACCACCTTTACTATTTTTTTTCTCACCACATTCTAAGCAAAGGCCATCATTAGGATACTTTTCAAAGTAATTCCAAATTTTTGATTTGGTCCTCATTTTGCTACAGTACCTATATCGACTATACCGTATAAACAAATTTAAATAAAATTAAAAAATACATGCAACTCATTGTATTAAATTACTTAATTACTTACAAAACAAATACAAAGTATTAAGCACGCTACAGTGCTACACACATAATAGTAAATAATAAAAGTAATTTTTATAACACGTCAAGTCAAAAACGTCTAAAACAGTAAAACACTAAAACCGAAACGTCCAAAACACATCCGGTCACGGCCCATAAGCATATTATATTATATAAATAATACTATAGTCTATACTCTATAAGCATGACTGGTCTGGTGACTGGTACGCGGGTGGTGGAGTTGTTGGTCGCTCACTCGCTCACTCTATTCCTAGAACGTTGTTGCGATAACGGAGGTTTTTGGGGAAATTCCCGATCATTTTAAAATTATTGTTCTATACTTCGACAGTAATTTTACAGTTGTAAATTCGGTAAATACCGTACTTCGGTATATATAGGTACATACCGTGTATTCGATAAATACCGATAAAACGGTAAATACCGATCAATCGGTAAATACCGAAAGACCGGTATACCGGTAAGAGTAAGAAGCCGGTATTTAAAATACCGGTAGATCGAAATACCGGTGACTCACCGGTATACCGAAAATACCGCCAACTCTACAATTATCATAGAGTATTATAATAAAATATGAACGAGTATCATTAAGACATAATATGTTATTAAATTTGTTAAAATTAGTCATAGAGTAATCAATAAGTTCTACTTTAATTCATTTTTAAATATTATAATTAGATACCTAAACATTTCTATTTCTGCTGAGTTTTGTACAAAATTGATTTTTTTAATAGTTCATTAAAATGGAATGTGTAGAGCTACTAAATCATGTTTACGGGACTATGCAGGGCTTCAAAACGTTTTCATAACGTTACGAGTATAACGTTAAACGATTCAAAAAACGATTGAAATCGATAACGGATAACATATCGGTAAACGATAAACGATTGAAACGGATAACGGATAACGGAACAGTAACGATAAACAATTAAAATTAATATCGAATAATGCAACAAAAAACGATTAACGATTAAAAGTTGAATCATAACAAACATGTCAGACAACAAAGGAAATTACGAAAATATTAAAAACTATCTATAGAATATAATTAGAATTTAATTAGTTTTGTAGAACTGTTGCTTGATAGGACTATAATAATAAAGTGACTTTAATATTAGGTACTAATCAAAATTAATTAAATGTACATGAAACTATGAAAGTTTAAAATAGCCATAAATATTTCAAAGAAATAATACGCATTATCAATTATATTTAGGCTTTCTTACAAAAGTAGAAAATATTTATAAATAATGTCTGGGTAAATACTAAATAGTATGAAACCCGTTCAACGGATTCTACATTTCTTAGTAATGTATTTATAAAAAGTAACAATAATGATAATAATAATGGTACCAATATTATTGTTATTACTTATTGTTACTTTTTATAAATAACGTTTATTACCTAATTAATAATAGGTACCTATAGAAAACTTCGTTATTTTGAGAAAAACATAAATCTCGACGCGAAGAATAAACAAAAATAAAAACCAATAATGTCCTCGGAAATTAGATTCTTAAGACAGCAAGTTATATGCAAATGCAATGCATATCATTATATCAAGTACAAATACTACAAACTGAGGTAACTACCATCATAGTATCACGGTGATTAAGTATTAACCGGAGATGGTAATACCATAGAACAATATAGAAGCGAAACTCGATCAGCTGATTGGGTCTTGGTTCTCAACGATCTGAAGTCTGAACCTCCGAAAAAACAAGGAAATGGTTCGGTGCACTAACATAATGTTAGACCCAAAGGTAACCAATATAATGAAAATGGTTCTAAGTTGATGGTGGGGTATTCTGCTCGGGGTCAGCTTGTTTACCATTCCCTATTTCACGTATGCCACGAAATTCCCCCTCTCCCCAACTAGATGGTAAAACTAGCCCTTATTAGTTGGTCTGAACACAAGTACAACTAATAGACAAATGTTCACCGTTTATAATATGGTTAACTTGTTGGATATCCGTAGATAAAGAAGTATAATATATGATAATATGGCGTAAGCCACTCAATTTATATTTCATTATCACATGAGTTATTTTTAGTTTTTGACTAACCATTGTTCACAAAATTTAAGCACAATTTATATATTTTTATATCTTTGTTAATGTGTTCGAGAGTCCGACGTATGCGATACACTCGTGAGTAGACTCGATTAACATGTAATTTTTGTTATTTTCACAAAATTGTGTTGTATAAATATATAATATTATAGTATTTAAAGTTTAAAGTTTAAACAGTATTAATTATGCCGAAAATTAAATCCAATCCGGTAGAACGAATGTTTTTTAAATATGATATTCACAGCAACGAAAGTACATGCCAAATTTTGAATTGTGCAAACCCTGTTTGCACCGGAAATCATTCTGGAAATTTAGAGAGCCAAATCAAAAATTTTCATAAAGAACAGTACATTTTGCTAACTAATGAAAAAAACAAAAAACATCAGAATGATGATGGACGTTATTCAACAGCTAAGGTTAGTAGTTTTAATTTAAGTTTTTATGAAATAAATTGAATATTTTAGTTACCACCATAATCTTAAAATTTGCTAACTCTCGATTGTTTGTTTGATATTAATTATTATAATTTTCTACAATTTTCAGAAACTAAAAACTGATCAAACTGGACCTCTTGACAATATGATTCTCAGAACTAAAAAAAATCTATGTCAAGTAAATTTGAACAAGAATAAAGTGATAGAGTCCTGTGTCCAATTAGCTACCATAAATGGTAGACCATTCCAATTGTTAGATGATTCTGGTTTCAGAATGATTATGAATCCTATATTTGAAGCTATCGGTGACGGTGAGTTATTTATAATATAACTAATTTCCATGATAAGTGTTGTATTTTTTTGGAAAGTATTCTTCTAGACCATGAGTTTTTAACCCATGGTTCATGTACTACTAGGGGGTCTTTAGATAGTTAACCAAGGGTTCACTGAGTGGCTATGCGTTTTTTTTTTTCAAATAACCCAAAAATAAATTTGTTGGATATTAATTCAGATTTTTCAATTTATTAATATTGTCAGTTAAATATTTTTATTAATTTTTATTTTTAATGCTTTGGTTTATTACTTAAGGTTTCAAAATAAACTCTCAAAACATAAAAAAATATATAAATGAATATGCCAAAACCATTATTGATAATATAACTCAAGATGTAGACAAAAAATTGATTTCACTTAAAGTTGACTGTGTCACAAGGCTGAATAGATCTATTATTGGTGTTAATAGTCAGCATTTCAAAGATTCGCAATTGCAAATAAAAACCATTGGAATTACTTGTATCTGAAAGACACACATCTGAACATTTAAAAGAAGTGGGTAAGTAATACATACCTATATACCTGATTTCAACTATAAAGTCCACTTTAGTTTAATTTATCAAGTTTATTTAGTTAAATATTCTTTAATATTCCTAATTTTTTTTGATATTTGTTTTTAAGTTGATACAAATTTAAAAAAATTTAACATTAATAATCGTCAAGTGTTTTCGATTACGTGTGACAATGGAGCAAATATCGTTAAAATGGTTCAAATATTCAACGACAATGAAGAAACTACTGATGATGAATCTGAGAGTGAGGAAATAGAAAATATTAACCCAAATGGTAACTACAATATTAAACTTTATTTTTTGATTAAAAATTGTACTCTCGGCTATAAATAATATTTACTTATCTTGTAATATTTTCAACTTTTTGTATAGACGATGATGCACTTTTATAGGACCATCAAGTCAATGATATGATTAATGAACCGGAAGTAAATTTAGATGCTGACAATTTAGAACATGAGATAACTACAGTTCTTAATCCCTATTATGAACCGTTACCTCTTACTCAATGTATAAAGCTGCGTTTACACATGAGCTCGAGCACGAGTGAGCACTGAGCGGCTCACGTGTGTAAACGGCGAGCCGAGCGGCTCGGTTTAAATTTTTTCGCTCGCGAGCCACGAAACCCGCGAGCCACCGATTGTCGGTCTCGATGTCGTGCTCAAAGGATTTAATTGATATTTGAGCCAAATTCGTTCGTCATATTCGAACGGCTTTTTCACGTTCCTGAGCCGAATCCAGTGCTTCTGTATTTAATTATTATTTTATTTAAAAAAAAAAAATTGTCGAGCATGGCGATTACATAATTATACAGCCGCATATGTACCTATTTAATTTAAATATGATATGGTGATATAGAAGCATGAAACTAATTACTTATTAAATTAATTTATATTATTGTTATTAGGTAGTAGGTACCTACATCAAATTAACTAAATAATAAATAGGTAAATACATTGGTAAGTGTAGGGACACTAATATTAAATATAATTTATAGAATAAGTAACTAAGTATTTGATATTTTGATATTTTGATCAAACAACTATTATTTATTATAACCATACTATTTATAAATCCTATAAATATATGCAATTTATATTATGAAAATAAACATATTTTCATATAGTTCTATTTTAAAATAATTGTCCAGTGTATTGTGATCAGTGTTATTTTCATTTGTCGTAAAATCATCCAAGATATAGTTATTTTTCATTTAGTATAGTTTCAATTCTGTAACAGTACAGTGATCTGACGAAACTTTTAGTGCACATTTATCGAGTGATCCAACGTTAGTGTTTAAAATGTCAAAGTCCATTTCTGATTGGGATCACGAAAAGTACTTAAAACTAATACAGTTATATGAACAGAATCCCATAATATGGGATGCTCAAAATGCACAACATTTTAATAAAAATATAAAAAATGATGCATGGTTGAGTATCGCAAATCAAATGGATGAAGATGTAGACATTGTTAGAAAAAAAATGATCAGTCTTAATGGATCATTCCGACGTGAGAAATCTAAAACAAAAAACTCTAA